AGAAACATCCATGTGCGGTTGCTGGGGGCTGTGGCCTGCAACCCAGGCATGTGCCCTGACTGGGAATTGAACTTACGATGCTTTGGTTTGCAGCCCGCGCTCCATCCACTGAGCGACGCCAGCCAGGGACATATTTTTATTGTTTTAAATATACCATTGACAATGTTAAAGAGCACAAGTGAAATGTTATAAGACTTAAAACTGGTTTAAGGAATTAAGTTATTTGAAATATTTAACGTTACCAGCTGAAGGGCTTCCTTATGCTTCTGCAAGGAAAAGGGCATTTTTCAGTGGATGATTCACATGAATTTTGCCTGGAAACAGGAATCTACCACTGTATAGGGAGCCTGGAGTGACAATTATCTGTCATTACTTAAAAAAATATATTTTCAGCTCTGGCTGGTGTGGCTCTGTGGCCTGAACGCCGGCCTGTGAGGCAAAGGGTCACCGGTTCGATTCCCAGTCAGGGCACATGCCTGGGTTGTGGGCCACGTCCCCAGTAGGAGGCGCTGGAGAGGCAACCAGACATGGATGTTTCTCTCCCTCTCTTGCTCCCTCCCTTCCCCTGTGTCTAAAAATAAATAATTTTTTTAAAAAAGAAAGAAATGTTTAAAAGTATATTTTTTTAATGTGCAGAAAACAAAGCAAATTCTCAGTGAAGACCCACGGACCCAAAATACCAGCCAACAGCCCAATTCAGTCCGTGAAGGGAAGGAAGAGACCCGGGTGGAGGGTTACAACGTGAGGGTCTTGCGGACCGACCAGGACGAGCAGAAGCCACAACAGCCACACCTCTGACCTGAAACAGTTAAACGCCCGAGAGGTGGGATTCCTCCTCCAGCCCCTGGTCCCCCTGTGGAAGGAGATCACTCAGCCAGCTACCCCCGGGGGGCTTGCGCGCGTCACCCGGAGCTGCCTGGGCGAGAACCGGGAAGGTTCTGAGCTACGGGGCCGCCTGTCTCTCGGCCACCCAGCGATCGCCCGCCCCTCTCAGCGCAGATCGGAAAAAACTCCAATAGCGACCGGCACTGGCAAACAGAATTTTGACCCAACACTTGCAAAAGAAAAAAAAAAAGATTTTTAAAAAATAGCTGGACTCACTCTTTTTTCCTTGCTCCAAGTACACATTTATAGAGACGCAGAAAAAAAGTGGAAAAAGGGCAAATGTGACCTCTGACACGTCATTTCATCAAGGCGCCCTAGCGCACCCTAGCGGCCGGAAGGCGCGCGCGCGCCAGGGCGAACTAACCATGAAAACGCGAATAAACAGACTCACCGTCGGCACTCGTGGGCGGGGAGACCTGCGGGTTTCCTCTGGACCCTCGCGGGCCTGAAATTTCGCGTTAGATCAGCAGCCACGTGGAAAGGGAGACATTCAGAGCAGGCACACTTTTCTTAGAAAAGCATTTTTTTTTTAGTTAAATAGTAAGCAAAACCCATGCATTCCATTTTGGGGGTCCTCACTACGATTCAAACAAAATTTGGAATAAAAAGCACTGGGGCCCTGGCTGGCGTAGCTCAGTGGATTGAGCGGGGGCTGCGAACCAAAGTGTCGCAGGTTCGATTCCCAGTCAGGGCACATGCCTGGGTTGCAGGCCATGACCCCCAGCAACCGCACATTGATGTTTCTCTCTCTCTCTCTCTTCCTCTCTCTCTCCCCCCTCCCTTCCCTCTCTAAAAATAAATAAATAATTTTTTTTAAAGCACTGGGCTCTTTTCTTTGTAATCCTCACTCCCGGAAGAATGTTTATTTATTTTTAGGGGCAGAGAGGGGGTGGGGGGAGGGGATGGAGAGAGAGAGAGAGAGATATTGGGAGAGATATCCCTGATTGGGGATGGAACCTGAAACCCACGTATGTGCTGTGACTGGGAATCAAACCCACAACCTTTTGGTACACAGGATGATGCTCCAACCAACCAAACCACGCAGCCAGAGCACCAGTGCTCAATGTCAGGTTAATAAAGGCGTATTTGAGAACACGATTTCTACGCTATTAATTTCGCCAAGTTAGGATTGGGGTTTTCACGTTTAGTTTTAGAGATGCGCGCTTGTGAGTTCCGGAGGCTGTCTCCCAAGTATGCCAAATATGTTTCTCGCTCTGGCCACAGGAAACCTTTGCAAAACAAAGCGTGGCTTACAGGGTCTTTGATTCAGCCCCAGTTAAGTTGAAGATTATGTACTAAAACAGGCATCAACATCCCATATTAGACCACCAGGGCTTTTTTTTTCCTCAGTAGAAAGGGTGGTCAAGGGTTGTGTTGGAAAGAGATAGGAAACGAAGAGACAGAAAAGATATTCAGGCCCTGGCTGGTGTAGCTCAGCGGATTGAGCACGGGCTGCGAACCAAAGGGTCGCCGGTTCGATTCCCAGTCAGGGCACATGCCTGGGTTGTGGCCAGGTCCCCAGTAGGGGGCGCATATGAGAGGCAACCACACATGGATACTTCTCTTTCTCCTTCACTTTCCCTCTCTCTAAAAATAGATAAATAAAACCTTTAAAAAATATATATATATAAGAAAAGATGTCTGAACATCTGTCCACAATAAAACGGACAGTTCTAGGGCCTTCGATGTATGTTTCACAATATGAATTCTGCCCCCGCTCCCCCCAGTCTTTGAGGCCTTGTGGGCATTACTCGTCAGTTCCAGAAAAAAAAAAAAAAAGAAGAAGCACGGTGGAAAATAATTGTAAAACCTCAGACCTCTGTTCACTCCCCACTGTGACATCACGTCTTAAACTTTGCCCTTTCTGGATCTACATCTCGTTGTTTTTTTTTCCCCCCTTTTTTTCCAAGGCGCCGGTTGGCAACAGCCGCACACACGTTCTGATTCATTACGTGTGTTTCGGCCAGCGGGCCTCGGAGACACGGCCCCCCGGGGGCCGGTAACGCGGAGTCTGAGGCAGGCTGCGTGCCAGGCGTCTAGAAGGAGACCAGAAACCTGGGGTCTGTTCTCCGTGACGTCCTCCAACTGCAAAGGTTTCCCGTGACATGCAAGACCCCTCACTTTTCCAATGTGGGACAAAACCGGGGGCGGGGGGCGGGGGGCCGGCAGGGAGGGAACTGAGGTGCCCCTCTTGCATGGGGGACGACGTTTTGATGACGCAGACGGAGTCACTTCGAGAGACCTGCTGGCCCATGTGGTGCTCACGGCAGACAATACTCTCTTGTGCACTCCCGTGTGGTCACGGTGCGTGGGTTTTATTTTATTTTATGTTTTAACCGGCATAAAAAAAAAAGAAAAGGGTCCGAGTGTGTAGCCTCACGGGTTTACGGAACGGTCGGCTGGACGTGGTTCTGGAGGGCCGTGCGCCCGTGAAAATAAAACCTGACTCTCGGAGAGGCGGCCTGACCAGGGTGAGCGTGTCCTCAGGGTCTGCCTCAGCGTGAGCCGTCTGATTCCAGCCCCCCTTTTCAGTGCGCGCACCGTCGCTCTGTGGCCTTGGCCCGTTTGGCCAGTGCGCTCATCGGGACCCCGGCCATCTGGTCCTTAGTGTCTCCGCCGAGTGTCTCCCTGGTTTTTAAATGGCACCGTCACGGGCTCGTTGGAAGGAGCGGGAGCAGCTGGAGTTTGCATCTCGGCCCCGAGATTTATGAAGTGTGAGGGCTTGCGTAAGGGAGTGAGTCTGTCTCGGCCCCCACGCTGCTCCCTTTCAAGGGGGCGGATATCCTATTTCACGGTATTTTTCAGTGTAAGCACTGCATGTGGTGCCACCAGTGCAATTGCTGGGTCATCGGGTAGTTCTATCTTTAATGTTTTCTTTTGTTTTGTTTTCCCCGAGAAGGTTCATCCTGCCTTCTACGGTGGCTTTAGGAACTGGAAATCCCACCCGTGGTGCACGAGGGGTCCCTTTCCTCTGCAGGCCCACCAACATTTGTTACTTCCTGTCGTCCTGATTGTGTCCATTCTCACAGGTGTCCGGTGGTGCCTCAGCGTGGTTTTGACTGAGTACGTCAGGGGCATACCACACCCCAACGTTGACAATCTATCAAAGAAACCCAAGTGCCCGTCGACAACTGAGTGGATAAAGAAACGGTGGCCCGTATAGACAATGGGATATTACTCAGCCGTGAAAAAGGGAGCTCTCGCCATTTGCAACAATGGGGATGCAACTGGGAGGGCCTTCTGCTTCGTGAAAGAAGTAAAAAAAAAAAAAGACAAGTACTGTGTGATCTAACATACATGTACCATCTAAAAAAAAAAAAAACCCTCATAAAAATAAAGAATAAAATGGCAATTGCCAGGATCTAGGATGTGAGGAGTAGAAGTACTGTTTTAAGGGTCCACAGTGACAACTGGGACACGAGTAGGTCCTGGAAATGGAATGGAGGGTGTGGCAAACATGGGCAGCCATACTCTGTTAGCACCATCAAACTGGCCGAGAGACGGGAACGCAGGAACTGCCACCCCCCACACACAAAATGACGAGTATGGGACCCGACGGAGGTGCTAGTGACTGCTACAGGGTGCATTGTATTGTGGCGTAGAAACGGCCCGAATCAACATGGGGTGTCCGTGACACCTACCCAAGGTCATATGGCAAATGCATAGTGTCCCCCTTAATCTCCAGTGCGGCTTTCTGTGGTCTCAACGACGCAACATCACTCATCCGGCCCTTTACAGAAATAAGGATACAAATAACACCGTACTCTACAGGGGGCTACTGGCAAGTTGCTAAGAGGGTAGGTGTTCAAAGTCCTACCCACGAAAAAATGGACAACTCTTTGTGGTGATGGGCGTGAACTGGACGGACCACAGCCATGATTTTGCAATATATACGCATGTCCAATCATTCTATCGTGCACCCGAAAGTAATGGAACGTTATATAGGTCAGTCATATCTCAATAAAAAAATTTTTGACTTGATTTACAAGGTGAAAACTAGTGGGACCCCTGGAGTAGGTCACAGCAGAGAAGCGCCAGCCTCTCTGGCAACGCCGAACGCAGAACCACGCTCCGCATTCGTAAAAGATACAAAGTCTTTATTAAACAAACTTGGAATCAACAGGACAAGTCCATAAATTAGACAGCAGTAGAATCTTCCAAAGGTAAATATATATATATACAGATCACAGTGATTTTCATTGTGCAAGGAACTGAACGGATTACAAACGGTTTGCTTTCCACCTCCCCCCCCACCCACGAGAGAAGCTGGGACACCGCGGCAGGGGTCCGGGGGGCGGGGTGCCGGGCCGTGCCGCGGGGAACAAAGGCACTGCGTCTCCGGCAGCCCCCCGGCCCCAGGAGAAAGAGGGCAACCTGGCCAAAGAGGGCACCCTGGCCAGGACGCCCACGGCACAGCGTGAGGAGAAGCCGCCAAGCCACAGAGAGCGCAAGCCAAGACCGCACCAGGGTCGGAGGGCTTCCCACCCCGTCCGACGGAATAGGCGTGGGACGGCTTTTGCTTCAATAACAGGAGTGCACAGCGTGGAAGAGCGAGGGAGAGAGAGAGCGAAATCAAACATCTTGAGAGGCCACCGTTTATGGGAAATTGTCACAGAGCATGTGGGGGGGGGGCCTGTTCCGTCGGACGCAAGCCCGCGGGTGTGCAAAACCAACGCGTTGTGACGAGGGTGTGCTGGGTCGAAACAGTGCCGCCCACGCCACTGCCGCCACCTCCACACAACACACACACACACACACACACACGCCAAACGCACCATCCAAATCCTTCCTTCACACCACTGTTGTTCGTGGGCTTTGCTCTTTGATTTTGGTTAGGCGGGCATCCCCCCTTTGCGTGGGAACTCGTTGGTCAGAGACGGCAAGGCAGAGAGGGCTGAGCGGCGGCTCGCCACTCGGAGCATCGGCTGCATCCTAACGGCGAACGTGGTCCGACACGGAGAGGCGACGTAGGTGGGTGGAGAAGCGGGAAACGCAGGTCACGTCACACGCGTGTTGAGCGTGAGGAGGAGTCTGCCACGGGGGACTCGTGGGTCTGCAAGGGTTAGACGTGTGGAATGAAACAAGACGTTCTAGACTCTTCATGAAGCGGATCCTTGGGTGTGGATGGTGTGAAGCGAGCACACAGAATCTTGTTGCTGGATTTTCTCTCTTTTCTTTCTTTCTTTTTTTTTGCATAATCGGTCCTATGGACAGCAGCAACCAACAGGGGGCCATCCCGGGCAAGAATATTTGTATGCGGAGCACGATTCTGACTTCTGTTGGGAAGGGGTCACACGTCAGCCAGTACACGTGTATGTGGTCGTGGGCGATCAATGGTGATTTGATTTCGTTTTCGGCTCTGTTGGTGTTAGTGAAAGGCAGGAGTGATAGCTCTAGCCAGAAAGCAAGACCCACCCAAATGTAACTCTTGTTGGCTTGGGTGCAAATCCCAGAGATGTGTAAAGGGACTTTTACACAGGCGAGTATCGCCACCACATGAACGGGCAGGAAACCAATCTGCCGCTTTTCCTGAGCCGGATTTTGTGATGATTGCCGTGAACTGGCTTCCACGTGTGACCCACGCACACTGATTGTATGTGCTCACAGACACATACAGCTCAGCATGAGCCCACTGCATGGTTTATCAAACGGACACGGCGTGTCTCACATGCTGGGAACTGGTTTTGGTTCCATCAGCTTTTTCATGGCCACGCAATGTCACTGACCCCTCGCTGCGGGCGCTTAACACACCAAGTGTGCGACCTGGAAAGTGGGAAGGGCCGTCCAAGGTGAGTGTTAACAGCATCAGGGATGGTTAGGATTTTTTTTCCTTGTTCATTTGTGTTGCATGGCGGGCGGCTGAGGGCCATGCTTTCCAAGGGCAACATTACCCACGCACTCAAACATCTGTTGTTCTTGCAAAATTCGTTCAAAATTTGTTCAAAATGAAGGCAATCCACGCCATGCTCCCCTGATGCTATTTCCATTCCATTTAGTCAATCCTGGACCGTGAGAACTAAAGCCTAAAAATATGCAGAATGGTAAATGCGTTGCTTGTATTCAAGAATAATCTTTCATTCATTTTTTTTTAAATTTTAAGCAGAAGATTCCAAAATGATTCTCATAACAATAATAATAATAATAATTTATGTTGTAGTAAGAAAATGTGACATGTGCTTTTCTTTGTAGGTGGATAACTCAGGGCAGAAAATCGCCTCGCCAATCTCATCTAACGTTTCACGATGGAAGTTCAGAAACCGCTGGACTTTTAGGCAAGGCTGGCCCTCCACGAAATCCACACGGGACGGTGACCCAGAACCTGTCCAGAGCGAAAGGACAGTCCTGTGATGGACACGTGCACAGAACCCATTTGGCAATCATGTCTCCTGGAGGTGCGTGTTGCAGAGAGTTTGTTTTACTCAATCCCGTAGTCAGGCTCACCTCCTGAGTTGCTTCTGTGTGGAGACGAGGTCCTGTCTCAGAGGTCTTGTGTGAGAAGGGGGAGCCTGTAGCATCTTCCCTTTGTCTCATGTTACCGTTTGAGAGGTGCAGGTTGTCTTGATGTCACCTCCAAATACACTCGGGGCCTTCTGATTCGTGGGCGGAACCTGCCCGAATCCGACAGGTCAACGCATTGCCTTTGACATGTTTGCGACGGAAAAAAAACGATGCACGGCTCTGTGAAAAGGTGGTTCGTCGTGTCGCTCGACACGCGTGTGTGGAAGGCAGAGGTAGCAAGAGGTGTGGGAAGTCACGCCTTTTGGGGGCCACAGGAGAGAAGACAGCATTGACAGCAAAGAACTGCCAGGTGCCTCAAGAACACACCCGAGGTGCACAAACCTAGGAAGGCACACGACACTCCATCTTCCTGCCCAGGTTTTCACGGTCCTAACCCCCGGGCACACTCTCCCTACGGCAGCGGTCCGAGGAGCTGAGCCCGTCTGGACAAGACCTGAGAGAAAAAGGAGGAGGGACAGAGGTGGTCTTAGAGCGTCACCAAAGGCTCCAGAAGCTACTCCTTACATACACAGATGCCACATCTCCACGGGGGAGGGCAGAGTGGAGCCCCCAGACCAGGTACGCAGCGATTGGGCTAACACTGTTTCCCCAGGTGCCTTGGTCGGCGCTGCATGGGCAGCTGGCAGCTTAGGTGTGCAGAGCGAAGTCTAGAAATCAGGAGGCAGAAGAGGAGGGGAAGACAATAAGTGATGGACAAGGCAGACACCGAGGACGTCCACGAGTCCCCCGGTTCGGGGGGAAGACGAGCAGTGAACTGCACGCACCGGGTGGCCGACCCACCTCTGGCTTTCAGGAGGTCACCCTTGCAGGTGCGGGGGGCAGGGGGAGAGTTGGCAGGGTTCTCCTCCGAGTACGTTCAGAATCAGCTCCAAAGAGAAGAAATCTCACCCGCTGCACCTCCCTGGTGCCTGCCCCGCCTCTGAGACCCCCGTGTGCAGGGCGCACTCAACGCGACCGTGGACGAGGAGAAAAGCCCACACAAGGGAAGTTCATGCATGGGACTACCTCCGACGCCGACATCTCGGAGGTCCCCTGTGCGTTACTTTCCCCAACGTGAAAATGGAAAGAAAATCTCTGACTGAAGGTGACGCACACCATGGAGCCAACATCAAGCCACCTTTGGGGGGGGGGGGGCGGTTTACGTTGTAGAATTTTTATAGGTAGCCTTCCCCCTAGGCCACGTGGAATTCGGGAAGACACAGAAGATTTCTTGATGGGGTTGCATTCCTTGAGCCACTGTCAGGGTCACTGAGTATTTCTGGATTAAAACCCAAACGCAAGTCTCTTTCCTTTGCCTTCGCCTCCAAGACCTCCCGCAAGCAGACACGAAGCGTTTCAGGTGCTAGCTAGGCAAGGCCACACGAATCTTTCCTTCACAGATGTGCAGAAGGTGGTGAAGCCAACGCACACCCCATCCTGCTTTTCAGGCGTTGTCCCCAAGGGAGAGCCGTTCCTTGATGGAGGAAAGGGGAGGACTGAAAGCCGTCGGCTGTGCAAAATCTGAATGTGGTCTCCACGGTTTTCGTCACGCGGCTGTTGCACACGCACGCAAACACACACGCACGCACGCACACAATCTGTGGTTATACCCAAGCACGCTCGATTCAAGCTTATAAAAAGCTGAGGCTCTGAGGAAACCAGGCACCGTCACAGTGAGAACCCGCGCGAAAGACAACATAAAACCTGCACCCAGACAAGGGTTCCGAACATTCCTCCTGTGCCGTCGACTTCCAGTCGCTTAAATAAGGTGAGGTCCATGAGTGTCCAGTGTGGCTTCCGGTCCCTTTGTGGAGACACGGGGGCGGGTGCGACGGGGTCCGATCCTAGTCACATCTGCAGGGTGTCCCCAAGGCGGAGTAGCGGGGACGCCTTTGTCCCACACAGGCTGACGTCATTCCGTGTCTGGGAGGAAACAGGATGGAGGATTTGGTTAGTTTCTAACGTGGGAGTTAAGGGGTGCGATCACACTCATCCGACCAAAGAGACCCAGCTGGCTTTGCCCTTCTTATTGCGAAGGCCCACAGACCTGACTTCTACGAAGGGGAGGTCGTGCCTCCCCAGAGGAACTGAGCAGGGTTTCCTTCTTTCCTTTTTTTTCTTTTTTCGAGCAGTGTTTTAGAGGCGGGCTTTCCATGTGTGTGCGCTGTCCTCCTCCACGCTAAGAAGAGAGTCGTGGCTCCTGCAAAACTGGCTCTTGGTGTCAACATGCTTTACGGCGAGTGCCGCTCAAACAGAAAATAAGGTGTCTCCTTCCCGGCCAGCTGCCCTACCTTTCTCCTTTCTGACATGCTGAAAATCATGCAGAGTAATTTAGACACGCACAGCAAGGTCAACTTTTCTTGATCATCTACGGAGGGGAGTGCTGATGGTGAAGCTGTCTTACCCATGGGGCAGGGTTTTGCTTCATGAAGAATGACGTTCTTATGTGGTATTTCCACACCTAAGCACTCTTCCTAAAAAAAACAGCCGGTCTCAGTTTTGACGCAGGTACAGATTATTGTCAGGAAAAGGACTGAGAAAGGTTAAAATATGAACGTGCTGGGTGTTTCAAAGAAAAACAGCAAAATCCAGATTTGTGGGGTAAAGAGAAAGCCACGTGATCAAGAAACAGTGTTTTGGTTTCCAACTATCATTCAAGCGTGTCTTCAAACCCTGTGCCCACCACTGCACAAAGGACATTAAAAAGGAGGCCGCTGGGGAAAATGCTGTTTACACATTTTCTCAAGAAGGTAGACGACATTAAGAAAGGTTCTTTCCATCGGCATAATCTCTTTTAGGGCAGCTACAGACAGAGGATAAAAAAGTAGTCACCCAATAGGAGACAAAAATTTATCAGATGGCAGCCTTCTGTGTCACTTAAGCCTACGTAAAGAGTCAATTTCACAATCTCTATACTAGAAAAAAAAACTCTCTGGATTTGGCTTATCCATAAAACAAAGCAAGCCTTTTCATCATTTAAAGAGTACTGAAAAAAAATCAGTCATAAAACATTACAGGAAAATCAGACAAAATGTGAGCATCTGAGTAGACCCAAAAGAAAAAAAAATTTCTTTTAAAGATTCAAGAAGATTTTGTGATTTTTAAAAAATCATGGGCTGGGCTGGGCGTAAAAGGCAGAAAACTGTACTGGAATAATAATTAAAAGAAAAAAGAAAAAAAAAGAAAATATATAAACAGGAAAATAAAATAAACTGTCCATACTAAAAAAAAAAAAAAGGAAGCCCAAAATTATTTTGAAAATAACCAGCCAGGATCGTCAGGAAGCTGCTTTGAATCTCATGCTTTTCATGGCCCAAGAACTAAGGGTTTGTGACCCCCCCGAAACAGCTATGCCTGCCAAAGGTCTGCACACACATGAATCTCCAAGGGGCCTGGTTCTCACACACGGGTCCTGCCCAGGCTGGACATGCTTGGGGATGGAGATCTTGCAGGAGAGGCTGAGGACGCCGGGGTCCCGCCACACACACCCAGGAATGCCACCGGGGTCTTCTTACAGGATGAACTTGGAAGGACCGTCTCTGTCTGCCGCATGGCATGACAGAAGGAAGCCCTACTCCATCAACACGATACCCCCTTGCCGTGGGATCCTGTGCACCCTGCTCCTTTTTACTTTTATTTTATTTTTTAAAAATATTACTGAATGGCCCTGGCTGGCGTAGCTCAGTGGATGGAGCACGGGCTGCGAACCAAAGCGTCGCAGGTTCGATTCCCAGTCAGGGCACATGCCTGGGTTGCAGGCCACGGCCCCCCAGCAACCGCACATGGATGTTTCTCTCTCTCTCTCTCTCTCTCTCTCTCTTTCTCCCTCCCTTCCCTCTCTAAAAATACATAAATAAATCTTTAAAAAATATTACTGAATGTATTGGGGTGACACAAGTTAATAAAATTAGATAGGTCTCAAGTATACAATTCTGTCGGATATCTTCTGTATTTTGCATTAACCTCACTGTTTTTTGTGTTTTTTTCTTTTGTTTTGTTTTGTTTTTCAGTTACGAAGCATGCAGACATACCTTCCCGGGGTGGGCTCGCGCCCTCAGAAGTTCTTGAACAGCTCCAGCTCTTTGGCAGACACCGCGGGAGCTGCGGTCCAGTCATTGTCAGGATAAGGTTCGAAGTTGGAGGTGTCGCCTTCGCCGCACACTTTGGGCTGGATGGGCGGCTGCGGGGCGGGCCGGGACACAAAGGCACGGTTGAGAAGCTGTGGCGGGCACTTGCGTCTCCGTCCCTCCGCCCCCCCCCCACCCGTCACGTCATGCAGCCTCAGCAGGCGGGTGGTGTGGGCTGACCCCCAGAGTGCGGGCTGGAGCCCGGGCACCCATGCATCGCAGCCTCTCCTCACACTCACGCTGAGGCACCGTGTCCAGGACACTCTACGAGCAAAGCTCTCCGCTCAGAGGAAGATGCCCCACGCAATACTTTCTACGTCATCTACAACCATCCCTGCAAAACACCCACAGGCCCCTCCCAGACAGCAGCTTCCTCGTCATGGCCACCGCGCCACGGAGAGATGGAACCGGGTGGCCGCCAGCCCGATGGCCAAACCTGGGGTCTTCAGTCCCCAACAAGGTGCCTGTTGAGGGGGAAGACACCCACTGGACAGGTGACGCGGCTCAGGGCCGCTTTCGAAGGGTCAGATCGCGCCAGTTAACGGGGGATCAGCCGTAGACAACTACGTCATAGACTCGGGATTCTGTGGCCTTGTGTCAGGGTGGCAGGCGCCCGTGGGTGAGCAGCACACCTTGAGTTTTCTTTGCGGGACGGCGTCCCAGTCCAGCGTCCGGAACCAGCGGTGGCGCTTCACGTCGTCAGCTCCGTTCTTGGGGAGAAAAACGTGCGTCAGCAGGGTAAATAGGATTTTCGTGGGACGGGAGATAAAATACTCCAAAGAGTCTGCGTTCTTTCAGGATAGACATCGACCCCCCCAACGAATGGATGGTTTTCAGTAACTGTTCCTGGAGTGGGAGCCGTTCGGAAAAACTCCCAACACACTTAGTTGTGTCTCATACTAGCCCCTTGCTAGGAGACATCAATGGTCCTTAGGCTCCCATGGGTGCTGCTCTGGAAGAAAGACTAAGACAGGAGCTCGGGCCAGCCTCTGTCTGGCACCAAGGGACAGAGCCAGTCACTTCTGTGTTTGTCAGCTCTGTCTATCTTTACCGTTTTCTCCGCTGCTCATCATCCTCCCCAGACACACAGGTGGAATCTTATGATTCGCTGAATCATTAAGATTGGCCCCCTGCTCTCCAGCAAGGGAGTCACACGACCAGGTCTGGCAGGATGGCCGGGGTCAGAGATCTCAGCCACGGTGCAACATGACCTTCCAACGAACAATTGGGGCCTATCCATGTCCCTCCCCGGGGGTGGGGGGGCGCCGCTGATGGCCAGCTGACGGACACCAAGCTCACCACGACCCCTGCCCAGTCCTCCTCCTTCGAGGACGCCCTTTTTTTAAGGACACTTTGGCCAACTTTTTCCATCAGTTTAACGTTGGAAGTGGTAAGAGAGACACGTAATCAGGGCCATTACACAGAAAACAGGGCATCTCAGCTCAACATGAAGTTCCGAAAACGTGTATCGGTTCCTCGTTGAAATTTCAAGTTTTAATGGTTTTCATCTCCTCAGCAGAAGAGAAAACCCTTCACTACCACAACCACGAAAGGAAAGAAATGGCAATGTGAACTCTTGCTCGCTTTCTCTAGTGCTACCCTTCTGACAGTTCTTCTTTTCCTACTGGGGAAAAAAAATATGTCACCGTCACACGGGAAGCCCGAGAACAGGCATCTGTGGCCTGCGCACCCCAAGTGGGGCGGGGAGGAGGCCAGGACGACCTGGGGCTGACGCCTTGCGAGGGGTTCCCACTCCAGTGCAGATACTGAGGTGTTACGGTATCCACGTAGAAGACAGGAAGACAGACGGACGGATGGGTAGACAGATGGATCGAAAGATAGACGGTACACAGAAAGCCATAATAGATTGATTGATTAGATAGATATGGAGAGAGAGAGAGGAAGATCATAGATACGTAGACACATACATAGATGACAGGTGAAGTAGGCGATAGGTGGATGACAGACAGATGGATACAGAGAGAGAGGAAGACGGACAGATGATAGACAGACACACACGTACATACACGATCAGTAACCAATGATAAAAAGGTAGACAACAGAGACGGTGGAAGATTGATACATCACAAATAGATGATGCACATAGAAAAACAGACGACAGGAGGGTAGACAGATAAAACATGGATAACTATGGAGACAGAGGAAGGAAGATAGGTCATTGATACATAGACAGGTGGATGGCTGGGTGAGACCGATGGCAGAAAGATGCGTGCATGGATGGGTACGCTGACACACCGCTAATCGCTCACAGATCCCTGGGGCGTCATTTCCTCGTCTGCCCCCGAGCTGGGGCGTGCACCCCGAAAACCCAGGCCTGAAATCGGGACGACGGGTCCCCACGAGCGCCGTGCCTTTTGGTTTTCCTCCAAAACTCCCGAGCGTGGCGCCCGTGACAGCGACGCGCCGTGGAAACCGCCCCCCGCCCCCACCGCCCCGCCCCGAGCGAGGACGCACACTGACCTTCATGTTTCCGAGGCGCTTGGTCCGGTCAACCACCAGAAGCTTCCTGATGAGGTCCCTGTGCGGAGAAAGGAGACGCAGAAGTAAGAGCCGTTCGGGTCGTGACGGAGACCCGCGTGGACCGAGCGCGTGGACGGCCGTAACGCCGACCCCCAGAGCAGGACTTTGGACAACGGTTCGCCGGCTCACGTTTCCTGCCACTTCCGTTTCAGCGCGGTCCATCCCCAAATCATTTGCGCGGCGCTGTGTCGCCTGCACGCGGGGAGGGAGCTCAGGGGAAAGGAGGCTGGTGACATCTTCGCGCAGAAAAAGGGACTTAAGACAATGAGACAAATCGCCCCTGGCTGGCGTAGCTCAGTGGATGGAGCGCGGGCTGCGAACCACAGTGTCGCAGGTTCGATTCCCAGCCAGGGCACATGCCTGGGTTGCAAGCCACGGCCCCCAGCAACCGCACATGGATGTTTCTCCCTCTCTCTCTCTTTCTCCCTCCCTTCCCTCTCTAAAAATAAATAAATAAATCTTAAAAAGAAAAAAAAGAGAATGAGACAAATCCATACACCTGCTCTGAGGAAAGTGTGGGCCTGGACGGAAAAGGCACCAGCCAGGCGGTCTCTCCCGAAAAGACACCTCCTCTCACCCGAACAGGACCGTCGTGCCGTGCCCTGTGGGTTTCCGAGTTTACGGGATCCCGGGTTGGCCAGACCTGACTTCCCATCGGGGCACAGAGCCCTGGGGCCTGTTTAGGTCCGATGTCACATTCGTTAGCTCTTCCCCCGAAATGGCAGACCGGGTCGGGACACGGCAAGCCGGCCCCGTTCGGATGGGAGACGAGCAAGCCCAAGGTTGGAGGGGGAAGGACCTGGGTCTGCATACATGATGAGGATCTTATTTCTTTTTCTTCTTCTTCTTTTTTGGGGGGAGTGGGGACGGAGGGAGAGGAGAGAGAGAGGGGAGAGAGAAACAGAAAACGGAGGAGGAACGGAAACCAAAATAAACGTAAGCTGCGAGATGGCAAGCAAGGAAAGGGAGCCGACTGGGAGGATGGTGGCTTCGACAGTGCCTTCTTCTCTCTCCACAACGCGCCGGAAACCCGGGGAATGCATTCGTCGGAGTGACCTCAGCCCTTCCCAGCAAAGACCTCATCGACAGCCTAAGATGTGGGGGTCGTCCTTCCCCGGGGAGACTTCTCTTGGAGGAGTGGAATCACTCCGTACAAAGGGAAACACACCTGGTGGTCTTCTGAGCTGCCTAAGACTTTGCAGGACCACGCCCTCCGTGGGCAGGACCCCCCCGCAGGTGCACCCGAGCCAGGGCCATTTTCACAGCCCCCAGGTTCGCCCAGGAGAATGCTAGGCGGCCACCCACGGCCAGACTTCTCTGGGGTTGCGAGTGGCTTCTAATCTTATCGTTGGCCAATGACTGCAAACACAGAACTCAGCGTTAACACTGCTCTGTTGCCCACTCAAAATGTGGGGAGTCCACTCAGCTGGACCCTGGGAGAAAAATCCCATACGAGAGTGAGAGTGTCCATTTCTTTCTAGACAACGAAACAGACTTTGGATGGCTCTCGCTGCTTTTGCAGCTCACTAGCTCACCATGCACGGGGCAGGGCTTCTTCCAGGGGATGAGCTTTAAATGCAGCCTCTTTTTTTGCTAAAAAAACCCAAAAACCTTAAAGGAGCAGAAAAGAGAGCAAGCTTGCGCCTGAACTAGACGCATGAGCGCCACCTGGGATTGGCAAGGGGTGAACGGACCCATCGACCCCTCTGGTGCGGCCGGAAATCAGGAGTCGTGATACAAAATGGCTAAAAGGGGAGCAGATCGGTTACGGTGTCTGGAAACCAAAAGCATTGTTACATTTCTTTTTTAAATTTTAGAGGGACAGAGGGAGACACACACACACACACACACGCGCACACACACACACACACACTGATTTGTTGTTCCACTTATGCATGCATCACTGCTTGCTTCTTGCATACGCCCTGCCTGACCCGGGATTGAACCTGCAACCCTGGCCAATGGAGATGACGCTCTAACGAACTGAACTACCCGGACCGAGGCCAGCATTCTTACATTGCTTAAAAACCCACGTTTTTTTTGTTGTTGTGGCTGCTGTTTCCCTGCTGCCACGAACTCAACGGCACGCACACTCACGGACACTCACGTCGCCGAGGCACGGCGAACGCCCCAGACGCAGCCGGCTGGTTTCTGAAACCCTCAGCGGGAAAAGGGCCTCGAAGAATGAGAGCAAGTCAGCCGGCAGGGAAGAGGTACAGCTCCGCTAAACTCGTTACCACGGATGCCCACGGCCACGTGAGCTGCAGAAAGGTGGGGGGGCCTTTTGTGCGAAACAGCCCGAAGTCTCTCTTGTGAACCGTACCAGCAAACGCAGCCCCGTGCCCTCGGTCAACGACACCTGTCCCAGAAGGTGCCGATGACGGCCGGGACTCACCAACAGGTGAAACGTCGTCAAAGCCGAGACGCGAGACCCTTTTTCCCCTCTCCACGGAAAACACGCCCGAAACAGTTTAAACGCAACGCGCAGGGAAATAACGCAACACGGTCTCCTGCCCCGCAGATGCCTGGCCCGCGATTTTTTTTTTCTTCTTCTTCTTCTTCTTTTCGACGCTTTACAGATACACACGCCCGAAGGCGGAGGAACTATCTCACTTACTTGACGTTGAAATCCAAGTGTCTGGGGAAGTCGATTCTGCCGGCGAGGATCTTCTGGTAGATGCCAAAGGGGTTGTCGTCGAAAAACGGGGGGAAGCTGTGGGAAACGTCAACAGGTTTACGCTCAGTGGGCGGGCGGCGGGGATGGGAAACGTCCCCGCTGGGGGCCGCGGCTGGGGCCGGCCCGTGGGGACAGGGCGTAAGTGGCCCCACACGTCCCCTTTGCTTGCGTGCGGGGAGCCCTGCCCGGGGACCCAGGGGGAGGGACTGTTGTAAGCCACAGGGCCCTGCCCGGCAGAGACCGGGCGGCCACACAGACGCCACGTGGCCGGCTCTGATGTGGCGGCTTGTGCAACCGACAAACATCCCCACGGTAGGTCGGTGTGAGGGGCCCTCTTTGGGGTCCTCCCTCATCTGCCCAGAGGTGGCGCGCAGTAGGACCTCAACAAACAAGTAGGGGACACATCACAGAGGATGGGGACATTGTGTCTTATTTTTTTTTTGGCTACCTCGGTCTATCACTTTTTTTAAATTTTTGTTTTTAGTCCTCACTGAAGATATGTTTAGTGATTTGAGAGACACACAGAGAGAGAGAGAGAGAAACATCCATTAGTTGCCTCACACTTGCGCCCCGACCGGGGATCGAACCGGCAACCTTTGGGAGTGCAGGATGACAACAGTCCGACCCACCGAGCCACCTGGCCGGGACAGTCCACGAACTGACAGAAGCCGATCTCTCCAGGGTGGATGGATTCCCCCGGGCTGGTTTTCAGCTTGCGGCTCGGGGCCCGGAGATCTGGCCTGGGGGGACCGGCAAGTCCTGCCCCACAGCCTCATGTTGCAAATAAACTGTTACCGAGACACGGCTTAGCTCTCGTCTGTGCTAGGGTTACAGAGCTGCGGAGGTGAAGACTGTAACCGGGCTACAGAAATCAACCCACCTGTGTTTCCTAGTATCTGGAAATTTTAAAAAAAAATCAGAGAGAGTCTAAAGAAGTAGACGTACATGTGTAAACAGCAAGAAAAATCTAAGGGAATCGAGGACTTCATAAATACATACGATATACCTACATGCACCTGGGTGGGATGTTGTCTCACATCCGCCAAAGGCGAACGCCCTCAGGTCAAAAGCGTGCCCTCGAATTAGCTGCTGCAGAACCAGGTCTTGTAAGTCAGCGAAACAAGCCATGGAAATGCTCGATAAAATGGGGTTTTCTGACGATACCCGTGTGAATGACAGCAAATTTCAAGGAGCAAAAAGAATTCTCTTGTTGTTTCCAAGGGAATTCTTTTAAGTTTTGCAAGAAAAAACTGAGAGTGGTGGGTTGATGGGTGGCCCCCCGAGAGAGATGGGCCAGGTTCTCACCCTGACAACGTGGGAACCTGACTTTGTCTGCACACAGGGGGGTTGCAGGTGGGACGAGTGGAGGATCTGAGAGGAGGGCGTCCTGGCTCAGGGTGGCCCTGCGTGCAATGACCGTGTCCTGAGAAGGGACAGAACAGGAGACGCAGACCAGCAGGAGAAGCCACATGGAGATGGAGGCAGAGACGGGAGGGACGTGGCCACCAGCCCAGGGACGCCTAGAGCCCCAGGAGCTGGGAGAGGGAGGAAGGACCCTCCCTGGAGCCTGTGGAGGGAGTGCGTCCCCCGGACACCTGGACCTCAGACACCTGGTCTCCAGGACGGGGGAGGGTGCATGTCTGTGGTTTAAAGCCCCCCAGGGACCGGTCATTTCTGGGGACAGCGCCAGGACACCCATACACACAGACGACACACCTTAACTCTCCACCTACCGATCAGAGAGGTAGAAAAACGGAAGGAATCAGAAAGTGCCGTATCCCCCACAGAAAGGAAAATCAGTGGGAAGCACAGGCAGGTGAGTTAGAAAAAGGAAGGACCCTCAACCAACACAAAAACACAGCGGTGCCGGATATGGTGTAAAATAGTCTTTAAAGCCCTGGCTGGCGTAGCTCAGTGGGTTGAGCGCGGGCTGCGAACCAAAGCGTCGCAGGTTTGATTCCCAGTCAGGGCACATGCCTGGGTTGCAGGCCACGGCCCCCAGCAACCGTACATGGATGTTTCTCTCTCTCTCTCTCTCTCCCCCCCCTTCCCTCTCTAAAAATAAATAAATAAATCTTAAAAAAAAAAAAAAGATCATTGCCCCAGGATACAATGATCAGCAGGCGGTACCGCCCTCTAGTGGCCGATGGCCTTGCAGCAGGAAAGCGAGTGGAGGATGCCCAAGGGGAAGCTGGTTCCCGTGGCTACAGTGTAGCAACCTCCGCATCTGCTTCCGTGTCCCCTGGCGCGCGGGTGACAGCGACCTTTGCCTCTGCTTGGGACCTTCCTGCGCGGGGGTGTCCGTGAAGTCATGTGGTCCTCGTGGCTTGCTACAGACCTCTGAGGAAGCGGGGATGGAATGTTCTACAGCATTTTAGGTGGATAAATGGGTAGATGATAGAGATGATTGACCGATAGGTAAGTTAGATACATAGATGGATGGATGGGTAGGTGGGTGGACAGATACCTCGGTAGATGGGTAGGTAGACACCTGATAGGTAGACAGAAATGACAGCTGAATAGACAATATGGAGAGGGATGATGGAGATAATAGATATTTAGAAAGAGGTAGATAGATAGATAGTGAGATTGGTAGCTGGTGTAGGAGGGTGGACACAGATGCGCGGATAGATAGGGAGACAGATGACACACAGGCAATAAGACGATGGGCAATGAGTGATCGATAGATGATACACGAATTACATAAACAGATGCACGGCAGACAGACAGACAGAAAAATAAATCCCGGTGTGCGCAGACTGCACTCCAGCTGGTCGCCCTGTCCACGCAGAAAAAAAAAATATCCCTCACTCCACCTTCCTCCCCCCCTGGAAGGGAAGGCTCCCAGGTGCCACCTGTGGATGGTTCCCGCATCGCTCAGGTGCACAGCAGGGGCTGGCTTTCGATACGGCCAGGAGCTGCCCTGAGTGTGGCCGTGAGACTCGCGGCCAGGAAACGGGGATGAGGGAGGAAGGGGCATTGAGGGAAGGGGAGACCAGGTGTGAGGGGCAGAGACGCAGCCCGTCCCACGGTCTGCAGAAATGGTCCCGGGCTGGCCGGCCGGCTGGCCACGGAAGCAGCCGAGGCGAGAAGCAGCCCTCAGCTCTCAGGACGGGGATGCGTCCCCGAGTCCGAGATTCCGAGGAGCAGAGCACTTGCTGTATCCACCTGACTGAGGGCCACCGGGCCACCCTCAGCCGAAAGCCAGGCGCCCTGGTGCCGCCCCAAGGAGCCCTTGACAAAGGGTTGACCTCTCGGGGAACTGGGCGAGCAGAAGGCGGGACCCTCCAAAACCCCTTCAATGCCAGTCCTGGGTTTCAGGAAAACAGACGCTTTTTTTCTCCTCCCTGGTTACTGTCATCGAGTCCTAAACCGCTTTGGATGGACGTACGGGTGTCCGCCAGGGAGCTCACCCGGCTCCGGAGAGACCGCACAGGAGAAGACAGAAGTACGGACAGGAGACAGGGGTGTGTACATGCAGGACAAAGAGTGTCCCCGGGCGTGCCTGGCCAGCGTAGCTCAGTGGATTGAGTGCGGGCTGCGAACCAAAGTGTCGCAGGTTTGATTCCCAGCCAGGGCACATGCCTGGGTTGCAGGCCAGGGCCCCCAGCAACCGCACATGGATGTTTCTCTCTCTCTCTCTTTTTCCCTCCTTTCCCTGTCTAAAAATAAATAAATAAAATCTTTAAAAAAAAATAACAGTGTCCCCGGGCGTGACAAACCGCTCCCTGTTTCTGGTCGTAGGAAGCCAGCGGCGCTGTCAGGGTGCCCAGCCAACAACCTCGCCGGGACATCCAGGTGGAAGTGGCACCCCAAGGATCTGCGACCCCCGTGCACCCTCCAGGGGCTGACAGAGCAGAGCGAAGTGAGCAGGCAACGGAAGTTGGGGGGAACGTGCCCCGACCCTCCCTGGCAGCCGGTACTCACCCCGAAAGCATCTCGAATATGAGGATGCCCAGGGCCCACCAGTCCACGGCTCGGCCGTGGCCCTTGCTCTGGATGACCTCGGGGGCCAGGTACTCGGGGGTCCCGCAGAGGGTCCATGTCCTGTGGAGACAAAGGGGTTCACGGGAGCTCAGCGGTGGCGGACGACGGGCCGGCCCCTGCACGAGGGATTCACGGTGGAACCGTCTGGCCACACCCGAAATGAGCATAAACAGGACAGTGCGTGCCCACTGTCCCTGAACGATAAAAGGGAATTCAGGGGACAAAAAACCCAGGACTTAGACACAGATATTTAAATTACATATACACACACACACATACATATGATGTTTTTCTACTCCAGTTTACATTGACACTTAAATTACATACACACACACACACACACATACATATGATTTTTCTCTAATCCAGTTTACATTCAATAGTATTCTGCATTACTTTCACAGGAATGGTACGGTGAGTACAGAATCATGTATTTTTGGAGACGCCCCCCCCCCTATATTTTAAGTTTATGTCCCTACCAATAAGCAGTTTGAATACAGATGGATTAAATGCTTCAACCAACAGAGGGTAGCTGAGCGGATAAGAAAACAATACCCAGGTATATGCTGCCTCCAAGAGACTCCCCTCAGGACAAACAAAACAGAAATACATTTGAATGTTTTTGCTAATTGGGCGACATGGTTGCCAAAGCTGATTTTTTTTTTGTTGTGGTGGTTTGAAAATCAAGTGAATAAATAACTGTGTCGCCCCTCCAAAACACCACATAAAACAAACTCAAATTCTTTGGGGCAGGAAAAAAAAAAAAAAGGAAAGTGGGCCAAGGCTGCCGTAGCTCCGTGGATTGAGCACGGGTCTGCGAACCAAAGGGTCGCAGGTTCGATTCCCAGTCAGGGCACATGCCTGGGTTGCAGGCTTGGGTCCCCGGTGGGTGTGCAAGAGGCAACCACACATGCATGTCTCTCTCCCTCTCTTTCTCCTTCCCTTCCCCTCTCTCTAAAACTAAATAAGTAAAATCTTTTTAAAAATTAAAAAAAAAGAAAAAAAAAGGAACGTGGAATGGTACGACAACGTCCCAGAGCACAAGGAATTCACTGTCCGCAACCCTGGGATGGAAACAGTGTCATTATCCCAGCTGCCTCGGTCTCTTGCAAACACCCAGCATTGGAGTGGTGCAGCCTTGCCTCGGTGCCGCGGCCCCAGTAGGGGGCGCTTGGTACTGTTGCGCACCGCGCTTGCGCAGTTAAAACGACATCACAACGAATGGGGGAAGTATCCCGTCCCCGGACTCCGTCTCAGGGACCCCTTACAGAGCCGCAGCCGGCTCTGTGGGCAGGAATAAGCCAGTTCTGTTCTCCTAAGGAGGCTCGAGGCTCCTCCGGCTGCCTCCGTGTTCCACGCGCTCGAGCCGAGGTGTGACGGCTCAGCAACGCTTGGGGGCGCTCGCCATCATTGCCATGGCGTGGGCGGCTTCTCACAATAAGGGATGCTGGGGTGTTAGGGGGTTACACGAGGCAGAGAATTTGTGAGAGGCTTTTCTCTGCAGAGGAGGCGTGGTTTGCAAAAAATTAAAAAAAAAAAATTAGCTTCTAGCCCCACCTAGAGGACGGCCGGAGGGAAGCAAGAGATTCTCAACAGACAAGCGCTTTTCTGTCTACTTAGTTGGTTACTCTGTTTCTTATTGGGATCATCCCCCGTTTGCCTGTTTTTTTTTTGTTTGTTTGTTTTTTTGTTTTTTCACAACAAACGGGTGAGCAGTTCCTTTATTCTCCTTATAAAAGAATTCTCTTTACACTCAAAAAGAACTGCAACCTTCAGTTGCAACCTATAGGTTTGGGACGTTTCTGAAGGCAGATCTGAGTTTTATGCTCTATTGTCTGATTGTTTTGGTTTGCCCCTAGTCTGCCCAATTCAACATGACCAATTCGCTAACACAAGCTCACCTGTAAACAGGTGACGGTACGCCCCGGCTGGTGTGGCTCAGTGGATTGAGCACCAGCCTGAGAACCAAAGGGTTGCAGGTTCGATTCCCAGTCAGGGCACATAGGGGAGTTGCAGGACAGGTCCCCAGTAGGGGGCACACGAGAGGCAACCACACATGGATGTTTCTCTCCCTCTCTTTCTCCCTCCCTTCCCCTCTCTCTAAAAATAAATATCTTTTTAAAAAGGTGACGGTACCAACTTCCACTTAAAAAGCATAACACTGGGGCTAGACTTATTCAATCATAACACTATGCTTTTTTTCTTGAAAGTTGCTAAGACAGTCGCTGTAACAACTTGGCAGCACAAGAACATGATTATCACGAATGAGGAGGTGCGTGGTAACTAGATTCTTTTGCAATATATATATACAGCTATCAAATCATGGTGCTTTAGACTGGGAAAGAACAGAATGTTGTGTGGGTCATATCTCAATGAAAAACAAAAACAAAAGGAAGAAAAATAACCACACAACAGCCCTAGCCAAGGAGCTCGGTTGGTTGGAGCATTACTCTGTTACACCCCAGAGACTGTGGGTTCGATTCCGATTCCGATCCCCAGCCGGGGCAGGTACCTAGGTGGCGAGTTCTGATCCTGGTCAGGGTGCGCACCGGCGGTGACCGACGGCAGCTTCTCACCCCACGGCTTCTCTTTGTCTCTCTTCTTGGGGCCGGGGGCCTGGTTCCTGCTGATAGTAAACACCACGTCGAGGCCGGCCGCAGGTACCGGGGCCCGCCTCCTCCGATATCAGCCTGTCGGCTTACACGCGGGGAGGTGCGGCAGCTGTGTGTTGGCTGCGTCCTGGGGTCCGGGGCAGAGCCTGGATACATCTCCAGTTTCTGGGTAGCGTCAGGGACGCGTCGTCAGGTGGAGGATTCCTGCCCCGAGCCTCCAGCCAGCTTCTGGGACGGACAGGCAGGCAGCCGCGGCTTTCAAGGGCGTGGGGACTGAGGTACGTGCGTGCCCCAGGCCCACGCCTGTGTCACCGGGAGGCTGCGGCTGGTGGGGGCTGAATAAATGCCTGGCCCTGCGCTCCCCTGCGGCTGCGCGTGTGACTCTTGGCGAGGAGGCTGTGGTCAGGGTGCTCACGGTGACGCCTCCCACCCACCACAGCACGGGTGGGAGACCGTGTGGGCCACGGAAAGACGGGGATCTCTGCCACATGGGACGGCCGAAGCCCTCACCGCTGTGGTCCCGCTGCCCTGGCCTCGTGGGCCGTCTGGACTGGGGTGACTTGTGTCCACCCCCCCCTCCAAAGCCCCATGCACCGCCGTGGCTGTGCGCGGGACCTGATTTGGGAGATGGGGTGACGTCACCGTGAGCTGATAGGGAACTCAGATGGGGCTAACTCCGTGACTGGCCTCGTTAGGAAGAGGACACAGAGAAAGAGAAAGACAGGGACAGACAGACAGACTTCTCTCTGCGCGCCGTGGGAGGGCCTGCTGGGAAGGGGGTGCCGTGAGCTCCAGGAAGGCGAGTCCGCCAGGAAGCGGCCGCGCCCTGACCTTGGACCGGAAGCCTCCGGAAGTGCGAGAAGCCAACGTGGACAGGGGTATTGATCCGAGGAGACTGCGATCTCACTCTGTGGACGTGGCTTAACCTTTACCACCTCCTCAAGGTATTACCTCCAAATCTGGTGGCATCGGGGGTTGCAGATTGGACACGGGGATGTCGGAGGGACAGAGCTGGGTGCGTTACGATGGTAACCATGGTGACAATCATGGTGGGGATGGTGATGGTGATGGTGATGATGATGATGATGGTAGGGATGATGGTGATCAGAGTGATGATGGTGATGGTGGTGGTGATGGTGGTGATGGTTGCAGTGATGATGGTGATGGTGGTGATGATGGTGATGGTGGAGGAGATGATGATGGAGTTGACAAACACAGACCACCTGATGCCTGCTCAGTGGTGGGCGGTGGGAGGCAGGTGAGACTGGGAACAAGGGGACCCACCCAGCAGCCATTCCCACTGGCTTATGGCAGAACAGGGAGGGGTGCCCACTTCTCGCTAGAATGGAAAAAAACCCACACTGCACCACCCGTTTCTTAAAAACAAAACAGGGAAAGGGAAGAAGGAAGAGACCCTGAATCTCACCCAGCCCATCGGTGATCTAACCACCAGTTCACGAGACTTCCTGGGGACAGGAAACAAGAACAGGCACACTGTGCGCTGGCAGGCCACCACACCCAGGCCACAGGGGCTCCTGGTGGGCCAATGGCCTCGTGCGTTTCACAAATAAACAGCCAGAGGGCGGGGGGAAAAAGTCGGAAGGTGAACTTGATGGATTGAATGCGGCTGAGAGAGAACTCAACCCAATGCCGTGTAGGAACCTGGGTTAGAGTCCGATTCCCACTGGCCGGGGGGGAAAAACGACATTTTTGAGACATTTGGGGGAAATGGGAATGTTGCCTGGCCCTTAGATGACATGAAGGGTTTTCCTTTTTAATTTTCTTAGATGTGATGAGAGCATCAGAGCGAGAGACGGGATGGTGGGCGCTCGCTTGAAAATAATCGCAGAAAGGAAAATAGTAGAGGGGCAGAGAAACCCCAGTGGCGGTGTTTTGCTGTCTATGGATGCTGGCTGGTGGGTAGCGAGGGAGTTCACGTACGCTCTTCTCCATACTTTTGTGTGTGTCGGAAAATAGTAGGGGGGTACTGAAAATATCACATTGTGTGTCACGCCTACCAGGAGGCCAGAAATAAAAAATCAAAGGACAGTATTTAACTGAAAACGTCCGAATTAACGAAACTACAATAGAATCACTAGTAAAGAGCTGGCGCAGAGGAAGAAAACCGTCGCTGAAAAAGGAATGCTATGGATGTCACTTCTAAAACCAAATGAGAAATTCTCAGTAGCTTCCTCTGACCATTTTCGAAACTCAGCAATAATTCTAGTTTGCCCCTGCGTCTTCCAGGAGGGCCGGCTGTGTGCTGAAGAGGGTCAGCTGCTTCCTGAGCAGAAAGTTTGCCCGGAGACATCGGAAAGAAATGTTCAAAGGGATGAAAAGGAAGAAGCGACAACCCAGATGGCTCTGTCCAGCCAAGCTATCATGGAGAAATGGTCCCCGACAAGCTAAAGCTAAAGGACTGCACCATCACCAAGCCCTTTATTGTAGGATGCGCTGAAGCAACTTCTCTGAGAAAAAGAAGATCAAAAAAAAAACAAAAAAAACAATGAACATGAAAACAGCCACAAGCACGTACACATCGAAAACGGAATCTGAGTGAGCAGACTAAACACAAGACTCACGGGTGCAAACAACATCTGGAGACTGTGGCCACACGGGAGAGGGGTGGGCGGCGGCGGGAAGAAAAAGGTGAAGGGGTTGAGAAGCACAGGTGGGCAGTTACGGAATCGTCCCCAGGATGGAAAGTCCAGCCCAGGGAGCGTGGTTAGTAACAATGCAACAACTGTGGACGCAGCCAGACAGGCGGGGAGAGATTTATTGCGATGACCATCTTGTTAGTTACTTAATGTCTCATCACCGGGGTGTAGGCCGGAAAGGAACACCGTATAATCTATGTCAACTGTGCTGAACAATAAGTATGATTTTAAACATGCCAAAACCCCCCCCCACACACACACATTTGTATGCAAAACCGTTTCAAACAAGAATAAGAAATGTCCCCGTGAGGACACAAGAGTTTTGCAAAATCAAGGGGCAAGAGGGAAAAAAAAAAAACATCTAGGAAAAACATCATCAATCAACTCACCGTGAGCGAATAAACATAAATTCGTAGAACAAGGAGGGCATTGAATTCCAGGGTGCTAAAATATGTTGTCCTTCACGGCATTCAGAAAAAAAAAAAAAAAAAAAAGGCCCTGGCTGGCGTAGCTCAGTGGATTGAGCGCGAGCTGTGAACCAAAGTGTCACAGGTTCGATTCCCAGTCAGGGCACATGCCTGGGTTGCAGGCCATGGCCCCCAGCTACTGCACATGGATGTTTCTCTCTCTCTCTCCCTTCCCTCTCTAAAAATAAATAAATAAAATCTTTTCAAAAAATACGAGAAACATGGTTCTCTAAGTCGTATTTTCAAAAATATTTTTCAGGAGGAAGTGTCTGTGTTTTGTTCCTTCTATGTTGTCGGGGTTCCTGGGGAGTTGGGGGGAATGTCTTGCTGTTTTTATGCAGAAGAGGGGCCTGATTTGGGAAGAGCTGACTCAGACCCGGCTGCTTCAGCAAACCAGGAGAAACACAGGAAAAGGGTGAAAAAAAGACTAAAAGTAAAAACCTTTGCAAACCACAGTATGCACGTCGGGGAAGATAAAAGTTAGTTTCTAAAACCCATCTATCAAGCTGATAGATAATAAGGCCGTCTTCCCAAAGCGCCAACCTATTCATTAAGCTCATTAATCACGTGTTGATCTATACTGAACTGATTTCGTTTGTTGACTCTTAAGCAGATGAACTGGATGGGGACATAGTTTGCCACCCTTGCAACCAAGTGATTCACAGGAATCAGACTTCCCAACAAAACGAATTCAAAACAAATGAAAGGTCCATCCTACACCACGTGCTGCCCATAGGGGGCAGCACTCATGTACTGAAACCAACATCCATGACTTAAAAAAAAAAAAAGTTTTTCTTTCTACATTGTAAAAACACCTCTTTTTTTTTTTTTTTCTGCTTGATTCTCAGAAATGTGACCAGTGGAATTCCATAAGGGAAAATGAAAGTGAATTGAACTAAGAAGCTCATGGGATGGCCCCTAACACACCATCAGGGAGAGAAATACCTTGCTGTAAAACTGCCCCAAATTCAGTTTTCCCTTAAATACAGATGGGTCTACAACGTGAGGAATACAGTTCTCTCCTTCCCTGAGCCTCCTTGCCTGAGAGACACCTACTGAGCTTTTGAAATGCACCGAGAAACCCACATCTTAATCTAACTACAGTCATTGAAAACTTGGCAAACCCATAGACGAAGCAGTCACTACAACGGCTTAAGGATTTTTGGAGAGTTTGTGCGGGGGGCATCAGCCTCTGCAGCTGTAAATATTAGGCGTCGAGTGTTTCTGATACAGATTGAGGGCACCGATTCGGGCGCCTCTGTGAGAGGAAAAGGCACCTGGGGTTCCAAAAACTTGGCAGCAAAAAATGCACGGAAAGTCTCCACTTTTATTAGGGCCGTGTGTTGAAATGACTGTACTGGTCCTATGTTGCACTGGAGAGGCATGTGAGTAAAAGTATCTGTTACTTAGTTAAAAAAAAGATCACTTGACAATTTTAAACAACCCAGAAGACTGTTTGTATTAGGCAGCGGTGCTCTAGAACAGCAGGACTTTCAGAACATAAATGAGTCAAGTTGCCCAGAGCGCCCCCTTCAGGCATCCACGTTGCTGTCAGCAGGTGTGGGGACATCAGCAATGAGACGGTCCCCGAGACAGCTGTGCCTGGGTGTGTCTGTGTCTCACACCTAATGGTTCTCGGTGATTTGGTGCGCCCTTCTGGGACACGAGAAAGGGGAGCTCACATTTTATTACGGGACAAAAATGACAAGAAAAGTGACCAAAGCCCTGGCTGGCATAGCTTAGTGGATGGAGCGCGGGCTGCGAACCAAAGTGTCGCAGGTTCGATTCCCAGGCAGGGCACATGCCTGGGTTGTAGGCCACGGCCCCCAGCAACCGCACATGGATGTTTCCCTCTCTCTCTCTCTCTTTCTCCCTCCCTTCTCTCTCTAATAATAAATAAATAAATAAATAAATAAAATCTTAAAAAAAAAAGAGGCAACCATGCAAACCAAGGCACCATCCTCCCCAGGCAACAAACCTAATAGAAAACTATCATGTGGCATGAAACGGAGAAAATGCCAACGCACACAAAAAAAAATAAGAACGTTTCTTTCCTCCACTTTTCTTCCCTCGCCCTGTCTCTCTCATCTCTCTGCGCTAAAACTCGAGAATCAAGTTTGAAAACAAATGTTTGGACCCCAAGAGACGTGTCCCCCCCCTTTGCTTCATGGAAGAGGTCCTCCTGGCTGAAAGGCACGGGACAGAAAACATGAAGAGCGTTTTGTGACACTATGAAGAGTGAATGAAACCCTTCGTTTTATGAACGTGGTCCATCACGCGGACTCACTGTGCAATATTGAACCCCAACTGTGTGTGCCAGGGAGAGAGACCCCGCTTATTACGGCATAGGGGCTTTGGGCTGTCCTGCTAAACTCTGTTTGGTCACGTGTCACTGAGGACTCCTGTTGTACGCCCACGGCTAATATAATACCCAGTGTCCACCCTAATTCTCATTATATAGGACGGACTTCGACACAGTCGGCATAACCTTTTTGTTCCCCCCCAGTTGAATAAAGCGGTACATGAAGCCAAAAGATATTTCATCCCGGACGATGTAAAATTTTATTGGTGTTGTTCTTCTGAATAATATCGATTCTCGGGTACGGGACAATGGAGAAAACGGTTGTCCTAGTAATTTAGTTTTTTAGAAGTCTACATTAAATGACGGTATGGATTATACAGTTCTGTCTACATGACAGTTTTAGAATTCCTCTGAAACACCAGTAAATATTTATGCACAGGGTATGTACTATATACTTCTACTTCTATAAGAAAACACAGAAACTAATTAATAAACTACATATCCATCAACAGGACCTTTTTTTGTATTTTGTTGTTATAAGAAATAAAACCCAAAAATATGGCTTTTTAAAAAAGTACATAAACATGCCCTTATTAGTTTCATGTTCATATTCTGCTTCTGTTAAACACGGGGAAATGAAACAAGGGTCAGCTCTGCCCGTTTCCAGCATGTAGTAAAAATGATTTGTTGGTGCAAAGAAAATAATTTCAAGTGTAACTCACAGCACTTAAGGGACAAGGGGAAAATACAGTAGTCTTGGGAGTTGCCCAAAAGATGGGCCAGAGGTTGGAAGGTGGCTCTCTGTTGAAAATGAAAAAAAAAAAAAAAAAAGAGGTGGGGGATGGGTGATTGTGGCGACACAGCTGCTTGACTTCCTGATGTTGATGAAAGAAAACCACGCTAACTCGAGATACATCACCTCACACCACTGAGACCGGCTACCGCCAATAAACCCACACACAACAAGGCCCGGCGAGGTCGTGGAGGAAAAGGGAACCCTCCAGTTCTGCAGGTGGGATTGCAGACTGGGGCGGCCACGGTGCGGAGAAAAAAAAAATACCAGTATGAAATGTCCTCAAAAAATTTAAAAATGGAACTGCAATTGCACTGCTGGGTATATATCTGGGGGAAAAAAAAAAGCAAAACCTGAAAGAGTAATCGGAAAGAATTTGTGCACCCCTGTGTTCATGGCAGTGTGGCCAGAATTGGAAGCAGCCCAGGTGCCCGTGAATAGGTGAGTGGATAAACCACCTTGGGCACATTTGCACGATGCAATGCTGCTCAGCTATTAAAAAAATAAAAGGCCATAAAAACGGGGTCTCCAAGAGACACCTGCGCCCCACCGCATCGCGGTGTTCCTGACAGCTGCCCAGACACAGGAACCACCTGCCTGTCCGCGGACAAATGTACGAGTGGAAAAACAGCGCGAGACCGAGGCCATGGTTAGTATCCAGCAATTCGCGACAGCCCGCGGGGGCGTAGCAGGCGCCCAGCTAAGTGAGGCAAGCCAGGCAGAGGAAGCCAAATACGACCTGATCTCCATTATCCGTGGGAGCGCAGAGAAAAGGAAGAACGCGCAGAGGAAGGCAAGGAGAGCAGGTGGGCGGCCGCGTGCAGCAGGGACAGGGTGCGTGCGGTCAGAGGGCGGAGGCGCGCGGGAGAAGCATCGGCGGCCACTTACTTGTCCACCAGCTTCTTGGCGAAGCCGAAGTCGGTCAGCTTGACGTGCCCGTCCTTGTCCAGCAGAATGTTCTCGGGCTTCAGGTCCCGGTACACGATCTCCTTGGCGTGCAGGTACTCGAGCGCGCACACGATCTCCGCCGCGTAGAAGAGGCCCGCGCTGTTGGAGAAGCGGCCGCGGTGGCGCAGGTAGCTGAACAGCTCGCCGCCCGGCACGAACTCCATCAGCATGTAGAGGAAGCGCTCGTCGTGGTACGTCCAGAACCTGCGGGGGAGGTCGGGCCTGAGCGCGGGGCCGCGGGGGCACGCGGGTGGGGGCGCGTGCGCAGAGGCGCGCGCACCAAGGTGCGGGGGCGCACCCGCCTGAGGACCGATGCTCCTTCAGAAGGGCACAGGCTAACCAACAGCTGCTGTTTCCGGAGGCTGGGGTTGGTTGCATAGGTGCTAGGCGTTTAGATACAAACTGAAAACACAGCGCACACAGCAGGGGTCGCCCGTGCCTAGAGATATGTAAAGGAACGGGGTATCCTTGTGAAATGTACACACAAGTGTGCCAATGGCCCTGGCTGGTGTGGCTCCGTGGATGGAACGCTGGTCTGTGAACCAAAGGGTCACCGGTTCGATTCCCAGTCAGGGCACAGGCCTGGGCTGCCATCCAGGTGTCCCGCTGGGGGCATGTGAGAGGCAACCACACGTTGATGTTTCTGTCCCTCTCTTTCTCCCTACTTTCCCCTCTCTGTAAACATAATAAATAAAATATTTTTTTTTAAAGTGTGAGAATGGACAAGAGGAAATACCGTCTGTTGCTAATCAAGTGGCCAACAGCTTTTGACAGGCTGAATTCTCCCCTGCCCAATTCATACTTAACTGTGTGAACTCCAGGACTTCAAAAAGGTGCTGCATTTGGAGATGGGTCTTTACAGAGGTGACTTGGGTGAAATGGGGTCCCTAGGGTGGCCCTGATCCCACAGGACTGGGGGCCTTATAAGCAGAGGAGCTGGGGACACAGACACACCCAGAGGGACACCCATGGGAGGACACGGGGGGAAGACGGCCGTCACACGCCCAGGACAGAGAGAGAGGCCTCAGGGGGAGCCAGCCCTGCCCACCCCTGGGTCTCCGGCCTCCAGCCTCCAGCACCGGGAGGAAGAACTGTCTGAGGCCCTGGACAGACCTCTAAGGGCTGGACAACCTTGAGCGCCATTTAGCAGACTGGGAGAATGAAATCTCTGTGTTTCAAGCTGCCCCGGTTGAGGTCGTTTGCTTTGGCTTCTCTCGCTCACACGCACCCCCGGAGGGGGGGGGCACAGTGGCAGAGGGCTCACACCCAGCTCGGCGAGCCAGCACCGTCAGGGCCTGGAAACTTCCAGCTCGTTAACGGACCGCCGCGCCCCCAGCAGCAGGAGGCATTACGGGCTGCAGAGGGAGAGGCTCCTAAAGCCATTACGGGCTTAGGAGAGGGCCCGGGAGACCCAGGGAGCGGCAGCCTCCTCGCAAGGGCGTCGGTGGGCTCTGTGCCCGACAGAGAAGGCTCCTGTCGGGAACCGAGACGCGGAAAAAAAAGGGTGGATGAGACACGGAGACACGGGTCAGGGGGGAAGCTGAGGGTGCTGGGTGTATTTCGGAAATCTTGGAGATGAGGAAGAAGAAGGTTTTCCCATGGAGGCGACGAGGCAAGAAGAGACAGGAGCTTACACCATGCATTCTCATGACCCCCCCGACACCCAGTGGATTGGCTGCAGAGGCTCCCAGAAGTCAGAGACGCATTCCTCACTGGGCCCCCGGTTTGGTTTGGTTTCGTTTCTTTCGTGAAAGGAGCCAACTCAGAAGCAGGAAGATGGGAGAGACGCGGAGGGCCAGGGGTCGGGAAGGAGTAGGGGCGATGCTTTGCCTTGCCCAATGGACACCTGCAGCTGTTCGTCGACCCACGGACTCCCCACGGTCATCCTTGTGGGTCGACGGCAGCTTCACGGGGTTCACGGTTTCCGCTCCAGCCCCTCTCCCCTGCCAGGAGGGCAGCGGGGGGGGGGGCCTGAAAGCCCCCACCCACAGGTGGGGACCAAAAGTCACCTCCTTCACACGGCACAGCTCGGTCGCGCTCTTCCCGGGAAATTCCGACGGGTTTCGGAAAGCCGTGTCGGACACCGAGAGCAAGAACAGAACCGGCGGTTCTTGCTGGAGACCGCAGGACGGCCGCCCCCCACGGTGGGGGGAGAAGGGCACCGTGATCTCGGGCTGTGGGAAGGTAAGTCTGTTCCACGGACCTCGCCACAAAGTCACTCGAAGCACGCACACGCCGCGATGCCCAGGAGCGGCACTGATTATTGTGTGACTGAAGGCATTTCCGCCTCCCCACTCCCCCCACCCCCCCACGGGCCCTGAGCTATCAGCAGCCTTGAGCACTAACACATGCCCTATACAGATTCTCCGTCATCAGAAAAGAAAAAAAAAAAGCCCACAATGGCTATGGAAAGAGAAATTTCCCGAGAGCCCCAACTCCGACTCCTTTGCCTTTCTCCAAATCACTGATGTCCAAGAAATACCGTGAGGGGGTGGGGGGGGGGACAAAAACTCCTCGGCCACATCCTCCCTTCCAATCTCCAAAAATAAGACTTGTCTCTCATGCGCAGCATTTACGGAGAGTCAGGCATTACTAATGACAAGAGCCAAAGTACCCGAAGCGAGAGGAATTATCACCACCCGCAGCACGTCCACAGAGATGAAGGCGTCACTGGGGGCTTATGTGCGGATGGAATACAGTCCGTGCGGCCACAGGTGAATTCAAGTCCAAGTTCGGAACACTACAGGGCTGACTGCGAGCAGGCAGTCCGTGGGTCGGACCCTCCCCCTTACGTGCGGGGAGCTGGCCCTTGCACTCAGTTTACAAACAAATAAAAGTGCATTTCACTCAGCATCCTGCTCTCCAGGCCCACCCACGCGAAGGGTACGATTTCCTTCTTCTTTGCAGCCGTGCAACTACTGCTTATGCTTTTTCTTTTTTCTGTCCACTCATCTGCTGATGGACAACGCTTGGGCCGCTTCCAAATCTTAAAGATCAGCCCGAGAGAGAAAGGCAAGGCCCTAGCCTGTCACTCCGACGTGAAATCTAATGAACACAGTATACAGTGACAAGCAAAACAGACACAGACTCACCGATACAGAGAACACACTGACGGCTGTCCGAGGGAAGGGGTTGGGGAGCTAGAGGAAAAAGGTGCAGGGATGAAGCAAACAAAACAAAACAAAAAACGCTCATAGACACAGACCACAGCGTGGGGATGAGCAGGAGGAAGGGCAGAGGGGAGGCAGAGGAGGGTGGAGGGACACAAACGGTGACGGACGGAGGCGTCACTCGGGGTGGCGAGCACGCAGTCCATGCAACATACAGGCGACGTTTCATGCAACCGTGTGCCTGAAACACGTACACAATCGCATTAACCAATGTCACCGCCATAAATTCAGTAAAAAAATTAACCGCACGGGCAAAGAGAAGGAGAAGGCCGGTCGCACGGATCATAGAAAAGAAAGGATGTGTTTCAGAATCTAACACGCACCGAGAAACGTGTGTTTTGGGGCTAACACTCCCTGTACGGGTTCTTGAATGTTCTCGGCCGGGACACCTGGCACAGGAGGTGCCACTGGACGCAGGGGGAGAGGCCAGGCAGGCTGCCCAGCAAGGCAGAGGGTGCCCCATGCACCGCCGACGGTCACCTAAGCTTCCTATGTCCATGGTGCTGCGTCTGAGACACCTGGTTTAGGAGCACGAGAGACTCCCTTGGTCTCCCTCTGCGCCTCTGTGTCTGTCTCTCTCTGTCGACACATGTATCATCCATCTATGTGTCATCTATCAGCTATGAGTGTATTAATTATCTATCCATCCATCCATCCATCCATCCATCCATCCATGAATCCATGAATCCATCCATCTGTCCATCCATCCATCCATGAATCCATCCATCCATCCATCCATCCATCCATCCACCCATCCATCCATGCATCCATGAATCCATCCATCCACCCACCCACCCACCCACCCACGGCCGTGGCCTCTAATCAAGGACAATCTCCCTGCTGGGAGTATTTCTGACCACACCAGAGACACTCTCCCTTGTGGCTGCTGCGGAGGGTGCACTGCTGGCATCGAGTGGGGAGAGACCAGGGAGGCCTGCTGCTCCACACCCCCCAGCAAACAGAACAGCCCCTCCCCCCCAGAGAAGGACCTGTCCCCAGCTGTCAACAGGGCCCAGGTCCAGACACCTCGGAGACGCTGGCCCTCCCTAAAAGCAGCAAGGGCGAGGAGGGCTCTGGCTTTGCCAGCAGCCTGCAGGCCTTGGCGCCTGCACACGCTGGCTTTGCCACGCCCCCTCCGCACCCCAGACGGGGAGTTCCTGGGCTCTTCTAAAATTATCTCGGCCGCGGCTGAGCTGGCCGGCCTTGGGGAGCGGCCTGCTCCCAGAGCAGCGCGTGTTCCTTCATGCGCCTTGAACCGGTGCCCGGGCAACTTTTCAAAAACAGAACCAGTAGCAAGCTCGCACGCTGGGCTTTGATAGATGCCTCCGGTGACTGCCGGACAGTTCAAGGGGGAACTAACGGCACACTCCGGCCAGCGTACTCGCTCCTGTGCGCGCGCGCGCTCGCTCCTGTGCGCCTGGCCCGCTGGCAGCCTCCGCCTGGCGTGCGGTTGGACAACACGCAGAGCAGCGTGCTCCGTGTTTCCGGAAACAGTATGGAGAGCAGATGTCGCGGGGAGGCGACCCAGCGTTTGCAAGAGAAGATGCGCGGCTGCGGGGACTGGAAGGCACTCTTCGCTCGCGGTGTTTTTCCACCAACACACGTCCCTTGTTCCGAGGCCCTGGACTCCTTCCAGGTCCCAGCTCCCGGGCCCGGGCCGGCCAGATCCAACATGCTCTGGCGTGCGAGGCACGTACAGGCAGGCAGCCCTGGTCACGCCGGGTCAACTTGCACGCCAGTTTGAAACACACCTGGCCTGCCAATGGCACGGCACAGGAAAACACACACACACACACACACAGACACACACACACACCACAAGCTGAAGTGCATTCTAAGAAGACCCCTGGGCCCTGACAAACACACCTCTAGCAAACTCTCTGAGTACATGTCGCAGGTGGAACTACGCTCCCCCAGGTTCACAGGTTCAACCCCTGAGCCCCGGGAGCTCAGAAAGGGGCTGCATTTGCAGGTGGATCTTTAGAGAGGGGATGAAGGTAAACATGGGGTCACCAGGGTGGTCCGGCTCCCACAGGACTGGGGTCCTTCGAAGAAGAGGAGCTGGGGACACAGACAAATGGATGGACGCCCGTGGGAGGACACAGGGGGAGCCAGCCCCGCCCAGCCTGGCCTCCAGGATGGGGAGGACTCAATATGTGGGGTCCCAGACGCACCTTTTGGGGGAGGACGGCATTTAACTGGCGACCAAATAGAATCCCCAGATTTGGAGGCCTTCCCCGCAGCATTCCATGGATAGCCCACAGCACCCCCGAACCAGACCCGCGGAGTGAGCCTGTTGTACACTCTGGCACAGATGAGCCACGTGAACGAGATGTAGTCCGTGGGTCCCCACCGCCCACTGCAGATCCCGGAGGGACCTCCTGCCACCGGCTCCCTGTGTCTTCTCAACTCTTGTTGCTTCTCGACAGGCACGTCTGAGCCTTCTTGCTTTCCCACGAATCCCTCTTGCTCCTCACGCCCCCCCAGGGGCACCGCCAACACGCTACACCTCTTGCCTCGCGGTTTCCGGAGACCAACCGGAGCCCGGGCGTCCCGCACGGCGTTCCTTGGAAGAGGCAGCTAGAAATCGCCTTGTGGGACTCACGCTGTCTGGGGTGTGCGATGTCCCGTGCTGGGGACCAGCCTGAGACGGCTGCCCCAACACGCAGGATGACAGTTAGGCGATAGTATAACCCAGACCATGTCTCCGCAGACAATATTTACTGGAAACCCTGGTCCGCGGGAGTCTTCCCCAGAATCCCCATTTCAGCTCCTAGAAGACCCACCCCTAGGAGCCGTTCTCCCTCGCCCAGGAGGGAGACCCACGACAGCGGTTTCTTCTGGCTGCGCTGCCCCCTGGCTGGGCGCAGACTCGGACACTTAACAGACAGCAGTGGAGTGCCCGGGGCACCGGCTGCTTTCGGATGCAGGAGAGAAAAATACAACAAAAACGTCCTCCGCCTCTCCTCGCCCGTCCTTCCACGTGCCACCCGAGACAACTCTCTGCAAGACCCTGTGTCAGGCTTGGAGGAGGACGCTCGGGCGTGTTGGGGTCCCGAGGGGTACCTCCCTGTGCTGGGGCATGTGCCGCATGCGTGCAGATCAGGAGGCACAACACCTGTCTCCGTGCACACAGGTGCACGGGACACGTCCCCACATCCTCCTGCGGTTCAGTGGGCGCAGCGGCGTGGGAAGAGAAACAGAGAAGAAACACAAGACCCCACGAACTCTTTGCAGCACCCTAAGCCCCTGGGGCCTCATCCTGGGCACCTTGGACACGCGCCACAGGTTTCTCTGCAGGTCGTTGGAGAGGCAGGTGGGAAGAACACCATGGCTCTGAAGTGAACAACGCTTTGGCGGAAAGCAGGGTTTGGGGCGGGGGTCAGCAAGGGGTGATGCCACCAGGACAGAAAATCAGGGCAGAGAGGGGGGCGCCCGAGCCACACCGCTGGGCCTGAGAAGGGGTGAGAGGAAGAAGGCGAGAGAGGGAGGAGAGCTGGGGAGTGGACGGAAGCTGCCCAGGGAGAGGGTCAGACAGCCAGCCCTGGGGGTGCGGGTCTCTGACAGCTGGGCGGGGAGGGGTCTTCCCCTGTAGCAGCAAGCGGCGCAGGGAAAGATGTCTGTCCGTTCAGCTCTGGGCTCCTCCCACTGGGGAGCGGGGTCCTCGGGACCTCGCCACGCACCCGAGGAAAGACGTGAGGAGACGAATGAATGGGAGAAGGTGGCCGAGGCCCCCGGAACACCCACTGTCCCACTGTCCGGGGAGCTGGGGCAGCAGGCCCCGACGGGACCGTGCATTTCGGGAACCGGCGCCTCCGTCCGCGGCCCTGGCCGCCCTGGGGCCAGCATCCGCGGCAGGACCACGTCGGCAAGATCCGAAGCCGACGTACGCTCAGAAATGGGACACACGGACGCATCCCCCAGCCACGACCTCACTCCCCCCGCTGCCCGGGGGGATCCCAGGGAGGATGCAGAGGAAGGAGCAGACCCCGGAGGGACCCTCACGGGGAGGGCCCGGGGGCCAGGGCATGGTGGACTCACAGCTTCACCAGGAAGGGGTGGTTGACCTCCTTGAGCACCGACTTCTCGTTGTGCACATGCTGCTCCTGCTTCAGCCGGATCACCTCGGGGATGCTCATGACCTTCAGGGCGAAGAAGCGCTTGGCCGTCTTCAGCTGCACCAGCTGCACCCGCCCGAACGTCCCCGTGCCTGCGGGAGGGGGGACAAGAGACCAGGCCGTGTTGGCACCCGCGTGGGATGGTGGGGGAGCCACTCCACGCACTGTCTAAGGCGTCGGCGACATGGCGTGCTGGGGCACTCTCGTCTAGGATTTCCCACGGGGGGCGGGCACACACGGCGTCAACACAGAGGGTCCCCCGCCTCTGAAAGGTCCCTTAATTGGAAGGACGCTGGACATCAGTCCTGCAAATGGGTCATCTCAGGAAACACGCTCGCGTGCAGGTGCACACAGGTACCTCGAGAGGTGGGCGTGGAAAAGCACGGTACATGCGTGTCTTCCACGTGTCGCTTTTAAAATGCCGTTTGGATTGCGTTTATCGGGGGAGACATTGGTTAGTAACTCTCTCTCTCTCTATATATAGGTTGTGGGAGGGACTCCGGCCGGCAGGCAGAACCCTCCCGTCCGCCGCGGATGGTACATAAGTCGTCCCGGACACCATCTTGCTGTTCCGGTGGGAAAGGGGGTGGACAGAGTGGCCCCCAACGATAGGCCTCAGGCAGACATTTCTCTGATACAATATCCGGATAGTGGATTGTGTGTGCGCCTCCCCAGGTCCAGGCCCCGTCCACATGTGTGTCCTGTTTCAGGCTGTCTGCATACACACAGGACACGCGGCCGTCCGCAATGATGAAGCCTCGTTAACTAACGCACGACAGCCTGCTCATGAGCATGCTTGGGTCTTTGCCTTCAACTCCGCCAGGCACCGCAAGAAGTGGATACAGATGCCCGAAGAAAGGCAGCAAAAATTGCCACCACTGCAAATATGGAAGGTCACCAAACCGTCTTGGATAGTCACACGCCACATGCTGAACCCCAATTCTTTCTCGTCCCCGTACTCCTGGCCTGCCCTGTCTCCTCCCAAATCTTTCTTGTCCTCTGAGCCTCAATGTGGCCCATCGCACGCACCTCGTACCCTCCCACTGCCCGCCAATCAGGTGTGCAATGATGCCATTAACGATGCAGACGGGTGTCACCCAAGGCCAGGTGAGACACAAAGCTGGGGAAGAAAAAGGAGCATCTGTCTGTGTGCTTTGGCACTCAGGATGCGTATCAACGGTGGCAGTCTTTTGCATCCAAATCCACCGAAAGGATAATGCAAACAAATGCATCTTTTTCCAAAGCACAGAGATGGAGCTCTGCTGGCTAACGGAGCTCCCTGGCTGGGAAAACGGCCATTGAGCAGATGAGAAAGGGGGAGGGAGGAACCCAATGGTGGCTTGGAAAGAGACAAGCCCTCCAAAGCAACCACACAAACCACACAACAACTAAACAATGCGTCTCCTTTCTTTCTTGTGTAGAGCTCGGAGGTGCACAGGGTAGCACCCGAAGAAGAACCAAGTTTCCCTCAAGCAATGTGATTTTTTCAGCATTTTCTATAAATTGACGTCCCCACGAGACCCAATAAATCTACTGGGTAATGGAGTGAGGGCGGGGCGGGGCGGGGCAGCGGGGTGTGGGGGGAGCTTACGGAACCTTGGCTTTCAAGCGAAATTTCCGTCATGAATATTTTATTCCAGCAGAAGCAGAAAGCCATCTACCAAAGGCCAGAAATGTTTGTGTAAGGAACGGTAAAGGATGAGTAACTCCCTTTTCAAAGGGTATTCTCCTGAAAAAGACGACTTGGGAGCCAACCCAGGACTGTGTGAGAGGGAGGTGGCATCGTGCTGATACACTAATGTGGAGGGTCATCCAGATAGAGGGGCAGCAGGCAAAGCTCTCTGGAAAGGGCGAACGGAGGCAGTTCAGGTGTTTTTGTGCAGAGGAGGGTGTTTCTATCAAGTCAAGTGCATTCAGCTGCAAACAGGCCGTGTCGTCCATGATTTCCCTCCGTTTCCTCTATGACCTTGGGTGGTTCGTGTCTCCAAAAGCGCAGGGACAGCTCTACGAACGATAGAATAGTCTTGCCACATTCTAAGACGCTAGTGACAAAAAGGAGGGTGTGTGTCTTGGTCTTTCATTTCTGTCCCTGCCCCTTTTTTCTTTATCATCTTGTTTATTGCCCCTGGGACAGGATTCACTCCCTTTTTTGCCGGTATTGACTAGACAGTCTATCCTGCCTTCTGAGCACTGGCATTTGATTGGCTCCCTGCTGAGAGGTGTCTATGCCCACGGGAAGCATAACCCACTATGACTCAACAGAGTGTTTTAGTGTTTCTTTCTGCCGCGTCTTTTGAGCTTTCTCTGAGCCGTGAGTTATCATCACATGGGACTCAAATCCCTCAGCCCCGAACCTCAGGCCTCAGTCACCCCAGGGGGGATGCGGGGAGACCCCTGAGGCACAAGCAGATGATCGGGAGCACACGGGGACACCACCTGGGTCCAGGTGGACAAACCCAGCATGCTTTCATGTTGAAGGTGATGTGTGTGAACGTGGCCAAGCCAAAGAGAGCCGAAGGTATTGGGATCGAGTCGTGATCGCCGTGGAAACAAGGAAAGTGGAGAGATCACTTCCTGCTGGTGTCGGGAGTCTGCCCCACCCTGCCTCTCAGCATCTCCCACGAGAGAGCGGAAACGGCCAGTGTTCTGTCGCTTCGCACCAGGCAAGAACCACCATAGGGTTACACGGCGGGATACAACTCGGCCACAAAAAAGGAGGAAACCCCGGCAGGACCAATGACACGGATGGACTGAGAGGCTATTCCGGTGAATGGAATAGTAAGTCAGACAGAGGAAGACAAATGTCACACAATGTCCCTTTTATGTGCGACCTGAAAATAATGAACTCGGGGATACACACCAGAGAGGGCCGGCGGCCGGAGGCGGGGGTGGGGAATGGGTAAAGGAGGTCCGGGGAAACCAACCTCCACCCGTAAGAGGACTTAAGGTTTTTTTTTTAAGATTTTATTTATTTATTTTTAGAGAGGGAAGGGAGGGAGAAAGAGAGAGGGAGAGAAACATCCATGAGCGGTTGCTGGGGGCTGTGGCCTGCAACCCAGGCATGTGCCCTGACTGGGAATCGAACCTGCAATGGTTTGGTTCGCAGCCCACCCTCAATCCACTGAGCTACGCCAGCCAGGGCTTAAGATGGCTTCAGTTTTGAGGATAGACTGTACAAGGCGATGACTAGAGCCACTAACTGTATCACGTGTTTGACGGCTGCTGACAGAGCACATGTTAAAAGTTCTCATCCCGGGTGGATGGGCAGGGGTGGGGGGGGCAAGTGGTGAGGGGGAAATGGAGACAACCGTACTTGAACAACAATAAAAAAAAAATAAGAAAATAAGGAAGTTCTCATCCCGGGGAAAAAATGTGTTACTAGGACAGGTGATGAAAGTTAACTGGACGTATTCTTTTTTTTTTTTTGAGATTTTATTTATTTATTTTTAGAGAGGGAAGGAACGGAGAAAGAGAGAGAGAGAGAGAAACACCAATGTGCGGTTGCTGGGGGCCGTGGCCTGCCACCCAGGCATGGGCCCTGACTGGGAATCGAACCTGCGACAAATTTGGTTCACAGCCCTAGCTCAACCCACTGAGCTACACCAGCCAGAGCTTACCTGGATGTATTCTGCGATGGAGATGAGATGGAGGACAACAAGAGACACGTTCCACAACACAACATTCTTAATTTTCTTAGTCCATACACTGTGCAAGTGTTTACTCTACATAGTAGTAGAAAGGAAGATACACTGATACTGTCAATGAGATGAATAGACTACAGAATTATCGCAGACTAAGGAGTGTGTTGTCATGTACGGAGTTATCGCGGTAACACCCCCTCTTTCCTTTCGAGTTTCCTCCCTCACAGGAATATCCCCAAAGGTTATATATAAAACCACAGTGCAGCCCTGGCTGGCGTAGCTCAGTGGATGAAGCGCGGGCTGCGGACCAAAGTGTCGCAGGTTTGATTCCCAGTCAGGGCACATGCCTGGGTTGTGGGCCACGGCCCCCAGCAACCGCACATGGATGTTTCTCTCTCTCTCTCTCTGTCTCCCTCCCTTCCCTCTCTAAAAATAAATAAATAAAATCTTAAAAAAAAAAAAACAACCAAAAACCACAGTGCACAGCATCACAAAGGTTCAAACCCTTCCGGTCTCCTTTAAGAAACTGGTGTTTGAAATCGTTGCTACACGTACCAAGGCTAGTCCAGCCTCTGTTTTATGGGGTGGCCGGGCGGTGGGGGGAAGCCTTTAAACTTTATTTTCAAATGTGGGCTCACTCTCTGATTAGACTGAAAACCACAGAACGGGAGGCACAAGGAAAGACTCCACCTTACGGGACGTGTGTGACATGTCAGCAATCCAAGTGCTCCCACAAAAAAAGCAGGTGTGCTTCGGGCCGTGCGGTGACAGTTCTCTCAAAAACTTGGCCTGTGCAGGCAAAGATCAGCTGAATAAACTGCACCCACTCAGCTCAGCACAGGGGGGCGGGGGGGGGGCGCTCTCTGAGCTCACTCGTCTAGACGGCTTAAGAAAACACTCGCGCGCGCTAGCAACTCCCTGGAAATTGTGTCGAAGCCAGCAAACATTCAATTGGGGAAAAGATAAAACACACAGCAGGTATTGTAGAAGCTCCGTTTCTCTCTCTCTCTCTCTCTGTTTTTTTTTTTTGTTTTTTTTTTTGGCACATTATTTACAAAGCTTTCCTCCCCGCCAGGATGCCCGGACAGATGTAAAATAAATACTCGCTGCAGGACCGAGACGCGCAGGAAGCCCCGCCCCCCGCCCCGCCCCCCCCCGACACCCAGCACCCAGCGAGGCCGTGGACGGGAAATGCCTGGCCTTCCTGGCGCACGCCTGCACGTCTGTGGCTCGGGATGGCACGTCGGGGTGCTCCCACCCAGAAGAGCAAGGATGGGTCTCCCCGTGTCCAGAGTGCGCGCCAGCCCGGATAACCCCACGGCCTTCAGCGCCGTGCAGGATGGGACGCAACGACGTCGTGGTTCCCCGCCCCCCAAAAGAATTCCCTTTCCATCAGGGTTTTTTCAAGCTAGGCACTGGAGGTGTGTCTGGGGCGGGGGGTGCTGATGCAT